GGGGGGTTAAATAGGGAAAATTCCCTATTATAAAGCATATGATTTGAGTTATATGTTTTTGAGAGAAATACACCGGTAATTTGAAAATTTCAAAATTACATTTCTCGACTAAAAAATAAGATATTGGTGTTAACTCGACGGCACACAGTGTGCTTTTTGAACACTGCATGCGAACTAATCGTAGCGCTTTCGACAGAAGCAGCATTTTGATACGAAACAAAATGGTTTTGAAAAGTAAAGTAATTTCCTTAACGAAACAATATTGCCATTGAGCCACAACTACTCCTTGACCTTAAAAAAATTGGTCAAAAATAGTGTTCTTTGAAAAAAACATGCAACATCCACCGGATTTATTCCAAAACAAAAAATTTATGTATTTTTTATTATAGATACTAATATTATAGATTTGGAGACGAGCAACACGATTCCACTGTTCATAAATCGAAAAAAATGTGAATACCTCAATTTAAAAAATGCATTGAGCTGAAATTTAAAAGCAAATTCATTAGGGCCTTCCGAAAAAGATGGTTTTCCAGATATATACGCTAGGCGACAAATGAAAGTGTACACCTTGTTCTTATATAATTATCACAACTATTTTCATGAAAAATGTTTTCTTTTATTATTTTTGAAAATATAGTTCATTCTATAATATAAACCATATAAATCCAAATTTCACACTTTATATAAAGTTCACAAAAATTCAAAAAAAAAAAATCATCAAGAATTTCAAATTTTTTGGAATTTTTAAGAAGATTATATGAAGTTTCATTTATACGGTTTGTATTATAGAATAAAATATATTTTAATAAATAACAAATCAAAAATTTTTACATGAAAATAATTGTGAATATTATATTAGAACAAGGTGTACACTTTCATTTGCCGCCTACTGTATATATGTATAAATGCGGTTTATTCGATATCCGAAATATCAAAATAAAAAATAAAAACGCCTAAAGATTTTGAAAAAAGCCGGCGAAAACCGGTTTGGAAAAACCAAGTCAATCTCCTTACCTGGTAGCGACCCCTAAAAGTTATTTTAAAATTTAAAAATTTTCGTGGATGTCTTTTTTTATTGTAAGTGGAACAAAATAAAAGACAAAATTCAGAGGTTGATGTACACCTCGCGACAAACGATAGCACATCAACATTTTTACCAGTTGCAATTACTTTTGTATTGCTTTTTTTAAGGTTCATTACTTTTATATAAAAGTATAGCCCTTTATCTAACAAATACCATATAAATCTAAGATTCAGACTTTGTACGAAAATTTAAAAAATTCCACAAACTTTTCATCGCAATTCCAAGCATTTTAGTTTTAATTACTTGAATACTTTTTGGTATACAGTTTCATAGCTTATGAAATTCTAGTATGATAAATTGCAGGTTTTAGGTATCTAAAAAATCGCGTCGATTTTTGATAATTTTTTGGCTGACGGTGATATGCACTCTTTTCCATATAAAAAATTACTTGGTATGGAAGAAAATGCGAGTACATATGCTTTCAAGTCATCTGTATATGCTTTTATGAAAATTTCACTATTAATTAAATTAAAAAATAACAAGCCTTCAATGGTTTTGTGTCCTTTTAATTACTTGCGCCAACGCCCGCTTTCCTTGCTGCATTGCTTACAAGCAAAACCATGTTGGCGTTGGCTAACAAAGCAAAAATTAAATGCGGCTTATAGGCGGATTATGCCTGCATGAACGCACACACACACACACAGGGATAGAAATGTAACAAACAGTTTTTATCTTACAACTTTCCACCATGTTATACTTAAAAAAAAAAGTTTAATTAAGTTGCTGGATGCATATCATCAATTAGCACGTACGATTTTTTATTTATTTTTTTTTTATTTTGTATTGAAAAGGAAATCGTAATCCCAATACCAAACCCATGTGTATGCGAGAGTTGAAATTGTATAGCATTAACCAACATTAAGCAGATATCTTACAGGCATTTATTTGGTACAGAGATGCGCACCAATACTCCATAGGTCCAAGATTCGACCCTAGGTACACACAACAGCCAATAAATAAAAGAAGAAGTGTTTCATAACTCTGGTCTGCTCTCCGTAAGTAATGGGAAACTTCTAAGTATACATCTGTCATAAAAATCTTTCTCATAAAACTGGTATCTGTCGTTCGGCGGCGGTGTGAAAGTGTTAGTCACCAAAAATTTTTGTAGAACCGCATTAAGCAAAGCGTTAGAAATTTTTTGAAAATTAGCCAACAATCTAGGTTGCCAATGAAACAAGATTGAGAGAGAAGCCAATTAAGAATGGGAAAAAATAGTGAAGGAGCGAACGGTAACACTTATGTATGCACGCGCTGGTAGTAAAAAAACGTAGCGTGCGCACAATAAAGTTCTGCAAGGTGTTTATACCATAAGCACTCGTCAGCTGGACATAATTATCGTTTTCCACGCAGCTTTTACAGTATGAATTTGAGGGGATGCTGAACCTTACCGCATTGATTCCAATCGAATAATAGCCTAACACCAGTTTCGAGATAGGTATGTGCCTAGCCTAGTAGCCCAGCGATCGATGAGCTGATTAGACGATCCTTTTTTGACCAAATATGCTCACTAGAGTCCCCACGCTTTCTTTACTAGCGGCATCTTCGCAAGAGTTTACTGTCAAGTCAGTTTATCGGCCCTTCTTATTCTACTTCTTTTTAATTGGCGCTATCAAAGCCTAAGCGATTTTGGCCGAGTCCAAAACAACACGCCAGTCGTTTCTCTTTTGTGCCAACTGACGCCAATTGGCAATCTTTAATTAAGCCGAGTGCTTCCCCACCACTTCTTTCCAACGCAGAGGAGGCCTTCATCTCCGTCTGTTGGCAGCATCGGCCCTTCAGTTTCCTGCTATATTGATGTGACCTGAAATCGATGTAAGCTTGATAGCGAAGGCAACTGACAAAAACACAAGGGTCTAAGGCCGAGACCGCGCAATGAGCAGTGAGCGGCTTTTATTACTGAGCGACGGCGCTCAACCATTTAGAAATGCCCCTCACAGGCCGCATATTGCAGAGTATATTATGTTTTAATTTGAAGCCGCTCGACGCTTTGCAGCTCATTGCGAGGCCTCGGCCTTATAGTGGCTGACCGGCTGAAAATGGAATGCCGCCAAATCAGGCAGTTTTAAATTAAACTTAAAACTTTACTACAGAATAATCTCTAAAACTGAAAACAGAGACAAACCCACCGATCTTCTCTTTCAGTAGGTAGGATGATTTTAGGAGAAGCGGGGTCTAGGAATCCTGTTAAAAAAGCTCTGTACGCGGGGCGGTGCCTGTCATCGGCTTTAAAGTAGCTTTGAGTACCACCCAACACTTTGAGACCTACTCCTGCCTTACGATCTCGCGTAGATAGTTGATTGCCTCGAAGTAGTAGTATTCGAAAGAACATTTAAGGTTGGTAAATAGATACGGCGAGCAATACCTCTATTATATAGAAACAACCCACAGGCGAGCTCTGTACAGTGACAGACAGTGTCATTCCTACGACAGTGGAGTCTACGTAACCGGAACGACCCAGATTTATATCTGGACTGTCACTCTAGCAATACTCCCTAAAAACTCTTAGGGTATTGGGGCAAGCATATATGGCTCTATACTGAAGCTTTCAGTGCCCACCCTTGAAAACCATCCCAAGCATCTTCCAAGCGGAAGTCTATGCCACTAGTCTGTGCACAAAGATCAATCTTTCATGAAAATAATCGAAGTGAGAGGTTAAGTAATAGTCAGGTGGCACTTATGGCTCTTACAACCTCATTGGCACCGGAGTGTGTTGAGAAGCTTAATACAGTGACTGAGAATAATTCTATGCGGAGTGCAAGAAAATCCTTATAGGACCTGAGACCTCAGATAGAAAAATATCAGTTTGAGGGAATTGCAATGTCCAAACACCAGAGGGCACAACCTGGAAAGATCCAGGTTACCCATAAACCCCCCAAAAGTGAGACTAGGAATTATTACAGCATTTTTCACGGGTCATTATAGGTGAAGACGTCACTTACAACAGCTAGGTATCTGGCCAAGCGATCTAAGCCGGTTTTGTCATTCTGCCAAAGATACATCATTGCACCTCCCCCTGGAGTGTGAGGTAATTTCATGGCGGAGCTACTGATCGCAGCGTATCTATATACTACTTATATATCGACTGCTGAGCAGTACGCTCTATTTCAAAATTTGATTGAAGAGCACAATATTTAATAATTCGTTCCAAAAACGCCCCATCTCAGCTGCCGATTCAAAAACATAGGGCGTTTTAAGCTCATTTTCAGTACATTTTGAAGTGAGCTAGGACATTTTTGAACATAATTCTGAGATAGGGCGTTCTTCAACCAAATTCTGAGATAGGGTGTTTTTCAATAAAATTATGAGAGGGCATTCTTGAAAGGTTTTTTGAGATAGGGCGTTTTCGAACTGGCTGCCGAGATAGGTCGATCTTCCACCCAGCCGTCGATATATGTATACCCATGGTCCATGGCCTTTTTCTTCCCAACATTATTTCCCTGATAGAAGCTGTACTTTCTATAGGTCTATAGGTACCAAGCTAAAAAGCAATACACAAAATCGGTAGTGGGGGCTTCACAATTCGAGAGTGTTTGAATTTATTAAGGACTATTTATGACTGTATATGGCCTCTAAGAACGTAACGAAGTATTTTTGCAGTAAAGGTATACAACTTTACATTTAACTTAAAACGTTACCAGAAGTTTTTTGGGCAATGCATTCATAGGTACTTATGTACATATGAACGTGCATTAATTTGCTTGCCCATGCTTGGTAAGTTAAACAAAACTAATATCGTTTCTCGTAACTCGCCACCATAAAGGTCGAAAACTTTATTTTTATCCATAAATTCGAACAAAAACTCTTAACCCAGATGCTTATGTAGTACATACTTTCACAACTTAACTTCCGTCGAGATAGCATGCACTCACATGCATTCATACAAACATTTACTCCTATTTTTGTATGCAGGAAGGTATCGGTAGCCAAACTTACTTCAACTGCTTGCTAGCAAACTTTTCTTTTTTACAATTCTGCACGATTTGTAAGACATTTCCTTTCACATTTCTTGCACATTCCCTTTCATATCTTTCCTTTTACCTGCCTGTTAGTTTCCTTGATTGACAAAGCGACTTCGCGACGACTCCTATCAATTGACTGATTGACTGACTGACTCGCTCGCTTGCTAACGACTGCAACAGGAGATTGTCGTGGTATGGATAACTTGAAACCCACTGCGGGCAAAACCTGCGACAATTTCCAGGTATTACATTTTCCATAGTACACAGCTTTGCCATTTTCGCTTTTATTCCTGCAAGACTTTTTCGCTTCGCACGCTTCATTTACAATGTTAGGAAATCGTGCGACGCGTATAGGAATCAATTTTGAAATTCAGTAGATGTTGCAACTTTGTGATTTTGTAAAAGTCAAACGATAACTCATCGCTGTTCCCGAACGACTTCACGGAAACTGATTGGTGGTAATGCAACGACATTCTTGAACTGCAGTTGGTTTGTTGGAGTGGATTCGATTATTGTGTGTGTTTTACTTGCAGAGAGTGCAGCGATGTATTAGGAAGGAGCATGTGTGTATTTTTACATATGTATCTATGTATGTATAAAGGTATGGAGAGAATTAGCTGGCTTCGAATGTCCTTGTTCGTTTTTTATTTTCTTTTTCTTATGCAATCTGACTTATATTTAGTTTGCTTCTTTAGGGCAACAAGGATTCCACACCACAT